GCAGAACTGTTGGTGTTCACGTGTTCATTCCCTGTAATATTGTATGATAACCCTCTAACTGCATAAAATACTGCCAGCCAGCTGAAAACTTGCCCTTCGCTCGTGTGCCTTCTGCTTCTGAAATGCTCCCTGCACAGTCAGCCCTTCCTCGGTGTGCGCGAGTCGAGATGCAGTCGCAGCTCCTCGTTAATACTGTGTTGCGTCAGACGAGACGTGGGCTGCGTAACCTATGCTCCATCCCTATTGTGTTTTTAGATTTCGCTAAAATCACAGCTCCCTGTTATTTTACGCTTCAGCTGCCTCGCAGCAGCTCCCAGGGTAGGCAAGCGAAGCTCTGCTTGCGGCAGGCTCTGCCGCTTGCTGGGAGCAGATTCCCAGTCACGACCTAATTACAGCTGAGAATATGAGAGAGGGGAAACGAGAGACGCTTTAGATAAAGCATCCTTTCCCAGCTTGTGATTTTTGAAGCTGGAATGGAAAGGGCCTGGGAAGGGATCATTAACGTACAGAAATGGCACCTGAAGAATGTGGTGTTAAATTACTGCAAAGCTGTTGTAGTTTGAAGGAGGAAGCTGTGATCTGCACATCTGCCGTTCTTTGGAACCGCTTTTCCACTTGTCACTTGCCCATGTGATCATGGCAGCCTGAGCAGCTGCTGCCAGGTGCCCGTTCTCCCCTCCTCTCCCTCTCCTCCCTCCTGCCCTCCTGCAGGCAGCCAAGCTTTCCAGGGAAATGGCTGCTTCCGTTGCATTTACGCTTCATGTGCTTCAGCCTGAGCTCTCCAAGGCCCTCAAACGTCCTTCTTTTAACACCAGAACTCTAAATGAAAGACGGGAAGCCAGAGAAAGGTTGTAGTGCTTTAGGAGATGCATTTCTGCTCATCTGGCCTTTGTCTGAACTAAGCCAGTACCGCGGCACATCTCTAGATGATGTCATCTCTGTTTCTGCCAGTATTAATGTGGTGTCCTGCTCTGTTTTGCTGCCTTTAAAAACAACAGTGCAGGTTGTCAGCATTAAGCACCTTCAGAAGTGTAAAAATCTGTGTGCTGTTGCAGCGGTCCAGCTGTAATGGTCTGGGTGAGAAGGAAGATCTTTTGTCAGCAAGGCTAGGTATTTCTAAAACAGATTGTGAGCAACCCTTTCATCATCCAGTGTCCTCTTTTCAGGCTAACTTGCGCTGAAGTTTCCCCTCTATCTTTGGGGGGAAGTTTGTTGTCCTACTTCAGTGACTTCAAGCTGGTTTTTGGCAAAAGGGTATGTGCAGAAAAGGTAAGGAAGGATCCACAGTGCTTGCAGAAATGAATTCAGGATAAAATTATCTGGGTGCATTCAGTCTTGAGACCTTTTGTTTGGTTTCTTTAAAGAAAAGGTTTTTTTTTTTCAGTTTTGAATCAGCCAGGAAGAGACTTCTGATCTCTAAAATGTTCCCAGCACCCCCTAATAATAGCTTTGGGTTGTCTGGAAATGGCTTTCTGATAGATGGCTGAAACTCCTTCTTCAAGGTGAGGATGACATCCCCTTGCCTTCTCGTTTCTTTTGAGGTTATTGTGGTGGTTAAATTGCGTTGCCCTGGACACTGGCATGTCTCAGCCAAATGACAGACCAAAGCAGCTCAGCTTCCTGACTGAAGTTAGTATTTGAGCAACTTGCTTCACGTTTGGAAAAGAAAAATTACTCTGAGTTGTTGTTTGAGGCCTTTGTTATCAATATGTTTCTGAATGAGTTTTTCTGGGAGCTCCAGATTTTGGGGCCCTGTTAAGAAAGAGGAGTACGTGCCTTCAGCATTTAACACGTCCAGAAATTTTGGGACTGAGTTATTGAAGTCGAGTTGAGCATCTTGTAACTTGTGGAGCCAACAAGCAGCCTACTTACAAATGAGGGAAAGACATTTATACTCTTCTTTTACATTGGAGCGAGTAGCACATGAAATCAGATTTTTTTCTGGGCAATTTCTTTCAGTTCCATACCAGGAGCAGCAGCAAGCCGGACCTCAGGGCCCAGCCACCAGTACTGGTGTTTTGAAATGAAGCTGCAGAGTGGAGACAGCTTCCCTGGGTTATCTGAGCCCCCGTTGCTTTGGGGGGGAATGTACTGCTCCCTGCAGAACAAAGGGGAAGGATAGTCTTGTGATTAAAAAATAATAAAACCCCAACAACGAAGACTGAGTCAGGAATCCAGACTTCTTGATTTTTGGCTCTGATGATGATTTTAGCTTCAGATTAAATCACATAACAGCTTTTTAATGGTGGCTGCTTGCTCTCTTTTGAGAGAGGTGTCAGTTTGAGCTTCTGCTTAAAAGCAAGCCTAAGCTTTTAACACTTTTTTTTTCTGTTCCAGCCATAGTCTGTAAGCATTCAACACACAAAAAATTGTCAGTGATTCTCTAGGCCAATGGGATTTTCTGCTTTGCAGGTGTAGATTGTATGGTGCTTTTAAAAAACCTTTTTTATGCAACAGACAGTGCCATGAACTTTGCCTTAGAGAACTAACTCTGCAGTGTGTACCATGCTTTGAAGATGCAAATTGCTGTCTGAGTAAAACATGTTATTTCAGGTAGGATTTAAATACCAAATAAGAGCAATAACGAGTCAGAAAATAGAAACAAGCAGGACTGCAAAGACTAAAATGGCTCTGAGCCTCGTTATGGTTTTTCCTGTATGACGATACACCTTTGTAGTTGTAAAAAATCTTTGGCAAATGAGGTACCTGGCATACAGATAGCAGATAATCAAGTCAGAATTTCCAGTCGTTCCTGAGTTCAAAAGTTGTTATTAATAACATATGTGGAGTTTGTGCTTTCAGACAGTCAATGAGTCTTGTTGGAGCAAAGGAAAATTAAATTGGTGTCGTGAGTCTGAGATACTGATGAATAAACAGTATGGAAAGTGGGATGTCAAATCTGAGCAGGAGTGTCAGGCATGTCATGGATTTCCAAGATCCAGTGTCAGGATGTTCTGTGTCTGTACTCGCATGTCCTGATCACCCAGCGTACATAACACGATCTGCAGGGTAAGAATAGTCTGCAGTTGTTGAATCTTCACGCACAGGCAACAACATGTGGTGCTGTGTGTCGATCTGCAAGAATTTCTAGAGTGTCAGTTGTCTTTTAACGTTTAGATACTCCTTTACAGATGTATATGTAGCGTAAGGAGGTTGCTAGAGTGTTAAAATGAAGCTGGTATCTCTCCCACTGATCTCTTTTAATGCGATGCGGTACTTGAATGTACTGTTTTCCTGCAGAGATGGATTTTCATGCTTCAACTGCTTGGGCTTGAAAGGCCGGTGTGTATTTACTGGAGTGTGTGCTGCTCTGAGCTTGAATAATTTAAACGTTTTGCAAGTTCAGGTCAGTTCGTGCTGGTGTTAGGTGAGGCTCTGAAACTCCACGCTGGACTTTACTCTGCAGTTCTACAGCTGGGTGTGGGCCGGCGTTTTTGTGACAGTGGTTGCCTTCCTCTTAGTCACACACAGGCTTTATGGGACCTGGTTACTGTGCTGCTTGCTCTGTGGCTATCAAACATCCAACCCTTTGCAGTCGGGTTTTTATAATAATAGGAAGATGGCTTGAAGGATGTATAGCTTTTAAAAAAATCACATTCTTACCTGACATCCTGGGCTTGCTGTTTTTCAGGGCTGTGTCTCCACAGATCTGTTCGGTTTGTACTTGAGCATTGGAATTACTGAAATAAGGAAGCTGCCTACTTCTAGTAAAGCTTTGCATTACATTGCATGGGCTTAAGGAGAAGCAGAGTGTGTCCCGGAGAGCAGCAGTGGTGGGAGTCAAGTGCTGCGGAGGGAGGAGCGTGAACTGCCAGTGTGAGAAGGCAGCTTGCTTGGTGCCTAACGGTGCCCAGGAGAGGAGATCCTGATTTCCGCTGTGACTTTGACTTGCTTAAGCTCAAGGTGACCTCGGGGAGTCCATACAACTTACAAATGTGCATTGAAAGCCGGTTGAATTGAGAGGCGGGTTGCTTGGCTTTCCACAACAGAGCTGCTAATCCTCACAGAGGGTTCTTGCAGCTTCTGTCATTAGTCTCCTGAGAGCATTTCCTACCGTTCTGGATTCAAGGGTCGAGTCATTCCATGAGAAAGCTCATTATGTGCTTTTCTGGCTGGTAAGAAAAACTTGAAAATGTGATCCAAATTTATCCAAATGCCTCAGAAATCAAAAGGGGGTAGAAACAGAGTAATAAAAACCAAAGGTTGATTTTCTTCTCCTTGGGGGCATTTTTTCCTCTGTTCTGAATAGATTTTGGGTATTAAACTCGATACTGTTATCCATAGTACTGGACTCTGAGTAGTAGGAGACCAGATCATCACTTGGAAACACCTTTGGTGAGTTCCCATCCTGAGTGACAGCGTCGTCTCGGCAGAGCCGGGCTGACCGGGGCGGTGAGGCACAGCTGACAAAACAGCTCTGACGGAGGACTGCAGTGTTACTCCTGCCTTTTCTGTTTGACTTTGCATAAACACAAGGACATCACGTATCCTGTTTGCTCCGGTTTTCCCATCTGTTTGGGAAAAATAGAGATCAGCGATTTTCTCTTTAAGTTCCAGAGATGAGAGCTACTACAATGACAAACTGTTGTCTGAGCAAAAGCTGACACGGGCGTTGATGGGACTGGCTGCTCTATTCCAGTGGCCTGTTATGTGGACTGAGAAAAAGAGGAAAAACAGAAACAGTGGGAATTCAACCTAAAGTGTTGAGCTCTAAGTGTAGCAACTGTGGCTTTCCTCAGCAATTCAGGCTGACGGGGGTTTTCCTGACGTGGAGCCCTTGGCGACTGTGGTTTTTGTGGTGCGTTCTCCTTCTGTTCCTCTTCCTCTGAGGAGAATGAATGACACGTGACAGGAGGCTGGTGGATCTTCCTGTTGAGGCGATTCCTTATTTTTTGTAGGGTTTGCAGCCATCAAAATCTGTGACTCTAGTGCTGGAAGTTGTCAGTATTAGTCAAATCTCCTTGTATTCCCCTTTACAAACAGACTCTTCTGTCTTGCAGTGAGCACAAAGATTCCTCGGAAAAGAAACACAAAGACAAGGAGAAAACCAAACACAAAGATGGCAGCTCAGAGAAACACAAAGACAAACACAAAGATAAAGACAAGGAGAAGAGAAAGGAAGAGAAGGTGGGTGTCTCCCATGGGAGAGACAAGAGGATGATTCTGGTTTATACTACCAAATCATACAAGCTCAGTGGGTTAGAGGTAGCTTGTACTTCCAAGTTTTTATCAACCTGGAGAGAATTATTCCAGTGCTATCCCAGAGACTTGCTCTGTTGAGTGCCAGATATGAACTTGTATGGGCTTTATCTGCAGGTACTGTGAATGGAAACAGTTCTACAGTGGAGCTGTGTCCACTGGCTCCATGTTTTCTCCCATGGCTTTTCTCTTTGCCAAGCTTAGATTCAGAGAAAAGGGAGAAAAATCTGTTAAATCACATTTGTTCCAAGCAAGAACAAACTGTACACTTAACCCCAATCTACTGTAGCAATTGGAGAGCTAGAAAATACTGAATTGACTAAGACTTATGGAAAATGTTGGGGTTTGATGTGTCATGTAGGTCACTAAGGGCTACAGGGAATGTAGATAAAGTCACGGTGGCCTTTGTTTCCTTCTGCAAGTTAAATATCCTGCGTTGTATGTTGGGAAAACACAAGGTGCTCTGGACAGTGCTAATCAACTCCTACTTTTTGTTTTTCAGATGAAATCATCTTCTGGTGATATAAAAATAAAGAAGGAAAAGGAGAATGGGTTCTCCAGGTAAGAAATGAGGTCTATAATTAGAAAAGTAGCAGCAGTTTGATTCTTCTTAGGTGCCCATTGTTTGAGTCTTCTTGCTTCATCTTAGGGAAAAACAGTGGAACACTTTTTTACTCCTTCATATGATGATTATTTTCAGTTATGGGAATTATTAATCAATCTACTTACTAGTAGCTGGAAGTGAGAGCTGTTGAATGCCTGGTGTCTGCCTGTACAGGTGGAGTTTGTCCAAGTATTACATAGTTGATTTCTCCTGAGGACAGACTGAACTATGGAAACATTTGTAGTGGAGTTGAAGGAACCTCTGTTGTAAAATTGGTACTTGAACTCTGCAGACAATCTTCGAGAGACAGGGCTTTGTAAAGACAGTCCAGATTGCCTCTGAGTGTCTCTTCTGTGAGTGACTACAGTCTGAAGCCTTTGCAGAGGAGTGCTGAGTAAGGAAAGCGCTTGTGTAAAATCAGAATTACCTCCAGAAAATGCCTAGACGCCCTACTCTGCTAAATTCCTGCTAATAGTAGCATCTTCTGGACTCAGATACTGTATCACTCATCACTAAGAGGTTTAGTAAAAACCTGAAGTTAGCAAAACGCCAAACAAAATCCTCCCATTCTCACCATGTTCTGTGGGTGCAGGGAGATTGGGAGAGGACTCTTCTCTTGTCCAGACCTGTCAGTTATTCTTACGTGATTTGAATATGCCCTCCTGACACGAGTTCCTCCATCTGCTTCATTTTCTTACTCCTATTGAAAATGCAGCCGAAGTGGTTGTGCTTGACGTGGGGCAGAGGCGCCCTCTCCAGGCCCTTTTGGGGATCCTCTGGAAGTGGAAAGCGGTGACATTTGGGTGTTTCGTGGTGTAGCAGACATTTAATAATAACTCTTTCTAGCCTCTGCTGTTCAGCAGAATTGCATGTGTGTGCCGATCTCACAAGAGACATTGGGTGTTCTTATATCAAGGTAACTGAGTCCTCTTCAGGTCCAAGAGAGCATTTTGTGTGTGTTTGAGGAAAGCCTGGAGGAGCTATTACAATTGTACCTTATTCAGGGCCAAAAGCTGGCAAAGAGTAAAGTAATTATTTTCTTTCTTTTTTTTCCCCTGCTGAAATATTCTTTTACAAATTCACTAGAGAAAAATGGCCTCACTCATGTGGTTTTGATTTTCTTCCTTAAGACTTGGTATGATGAGCAATGTTACAGTCTTGGAAACAATGCAAGTCAAGGTTCAGCTTGGTCATACAGCTCCTTTCTTTTAAAATAATCACACTTTATTTCCCACTGTTACAAAAGGTTGTGAAATAGTTCAGTGTTAAAATAGACTAGATAAAATTCTAGCAACTTAATAAACAGTAGTTCTAGATTCCTGCCTGGAAGGGAGAATAAATTAAATGGGACAAATACCTCTTTTTCCATAAATGTTTTGCAACTGTCTCTGTGCTGCAGACTTGTGTCTTAATAAGCGATGCCGCAGAAACAGCTTCTTAAAGCAGCACATATCTGTTTCCCTGAGTTGTGTCTGCCAGCACTGCAACGACTTTACAGTCATGAAAGAGCAAAACTGCCTTGTTCTGCTTCCTGGACATACTACTAGTGAAAATAAGACTCCAGAATCTCTCTTGCTGACTGTGGACTGGAAAGCTGAATGCTGCTTCCCTCCCTCCATCCAATTGCAAAATCTGCATGTTGACTTGGAAACTGAGTCAATCTGTTACAGATTGTGCTGATTGGTTGTGAATGGGAAAGCCCAGGATGGAACTGTTACCTTTTTCTGAATGGAGAGGCACTAAGGGCTTCAGAACATGATTTTGGGACTCTTATCTTTTTCTGTATGAATATAAGTGAAACACTTATGTGAAATCTAGAAATAATGAGCTTGTTTAAAGGAATAGTCTCTTTTGCCCTCATACTTTTTTATTATTATTATTATTATTACTGATGTCTTGGGACATTATGGCTGAAAACATTGAGCCTAATTTAACATTTGTGGTCTGTTGAAAGGGGCAGGATTGTTTGCTTCCCACAGTTTGGACCGTGAAAAGAGACTGATCAGTTTAACTTTACCAAATCTTTGTTTCCTTTTCTGGTTTTCACATACCTCAGTGTTTAGTTGGCAAAAGATGCAGGGGAATAGCTTTCAAATCTTTGTTTAGTTGATAATCTTTTTCTCTCTTACCAGGCTTAATAAGGATATTGAAACTGAATAATATCTTCTATTTGATTGCACACATTCATGCATTTCTGATTTGCTTTAAGTCTATTTGACAGTGCTGGAAGCTGCAGTTGTTTTTACTCAAACACAGCTGAAATCTTAGCAGTTCAAATTGATCTCAGTGTTGCTTGAGAAATGGCAAATACGTAGATAGTGTATGACTCTCTTCTCATGCTCTCTGTGGATATTCACATGAAGCATAACACACCTCAGGTCTTTGGGATCTTGAGATGACATTCCAGGACCAGGAGACGTGCCCATTTTGCAGACAATCATTTCTTACAACTGACTTGTTGTTGGTTTCCGAGAAATTTCCTCTTTGAAATCAGAACCATCTTTCTTCGCTTCTTTTTCTAGTCCACCACGTATTAAAGATGAACCAGATGATGATGAGTTTTACCCATCTGCTAAAGGGGACGCCAAACCCCTGAAGAGACCTCGAGAAGATGATGAGTAAGTGGCGTGGGTGCAGGTGACTTTGGTTGCCTTTAGTTTTAGAAAGACAACATTGAGGTAGCTGGTGGGTTTTCAGGTCATCAGCACAGGTGTGTTCACATGGGTGGCTGGAGGTCTGCAGTCAGACCCCTTATGTTGTTGTAAGTTCTCTGGGGAGGGCAAGGACAATATTGGTGGTGTCCGAGGCAAAATACCAGTCCCTGCTTCTGAGATGGTGCTGCAAAATGTTGCAGAGTTAGTAAATAAATAAAAAACTCAAAAAAACTAGAAGAGACACCGATGGAGATTGTAAAACATAAATCTGAGCAAGTGAGGTATTGCTGCTAGCTAAGTGGCTGTGGTGGTTTCTGTTGGGTGAGGAAATGACTGCACAAGAGGGAGAAAATGCATTGTCAGCCTGTTGTGGCAGGGGAAGGAGGTTTGCCTGCACTGCTCGACGTGATTCACCTGGAGTCTAAATACGTCGTGGGTTGTGCTGAGGATTTTTGTCTCTAAATCAAAAGATACAGTAACCTACCCAGCACAATAAAAGCCCAGTTACATCACACTGGGATGTGTCACCATCTGTGTGCGTGCAGTTCTCTCGATAGTGTGAGCTTATTAGCAGCCTGGGGTTTAGCCATAGTGGTATTCTGTCCCCTCTGTGGTATTTCTCCGTTTCCAAAAGAGATGGGTGTGACATCTTCTGTGTAATCATTTGCCACCTTCTGTTAAGTTTTTTGTGACCTCCCATCTCATGTCTGCAATGGAAAGATTACGAATTTGCCAGCACTCAGTTTTGCTATTGTTTAAACTAGTGGGGATGCAAAAAGTGAGCCTTATGGGCAGATCCCAGACTGATGACTGGAAAAGGACTTGGAGGGGAGGGTAGAACATGCCACTAAGGTTTTACCTGTTTATCCCATCCCGTGAAATCACTGGGTGACTGCTTATGCTTTTGAATCAATCCTTCATCAAAGAATATTTTTGCTTCAGCAGTCCGAAACTTGTTGGGGCTGTTTTGCTGTGTAGGGGTTATTCAGTCTTCAGTCATTGGGGCATAAAATTATGTTATTCAGAAATTAAATGTGCCAGAAATATTGTGAACTTGTGTGCACAGACTTTGTATATGTATGACTTCTCTTAATTTATTTTTGTACTAGAAAATTATTTATTTTTACAAGCTGGTCTTCTTGTTCTTAACAGTGCTGAGTACAAACCCAAGAAAATCAAAACAGAAGACATCAAGAAAGCAAAGAAGAGGAAACAAGAGGAAGAAGAGGTAATTTGAACGATGAGTTTATTTCTGTGGTCAAGAAAAGCAAGGCTGACAATTTGGTGTTGAACTGTGTAGAACTAGGGGACTGGGATTCAAGTGTAGGGAGGCAGGGCCGGTCTGGGACAAAGCTGCGTGTGGCAGATCCCCAGCTGTGGTGGAGGTTAAGTTATCTGAGCCATAGTGAATAAAAAAATCAGGAAAGATTTCTCTCCAATTCAGTAATCTTGAGAAGATGCCTCCAGGTTGTGAACTTTCAGGCGGTTCCACGCCAGTTGCAGTCCTTCTGTGCCGCAGCTCACAGAGGGCAGAGGAGCTTTGCTGACAACATCTGGTAATCACACAGCTGAAGCAGCAGGTCAGACGAGGAGCTGGATCTGAGATCAGCTGCTAGAAAGACTTGTAAAGCTTTTAAATGGAGCCTAGGCTGGAAATTCCTTTGGAGAGGGACTTGTTGAAGAGAAGTTAGCCATGACTTGAGACTAATGAGCTGTGCTTCACATCTAGTGAAGATACTCTTGTGAGGCACATGTTGCAAGCACCTCCTGGCAATATGGTTAATTATTTAATTCACTGAAAGTGTCTCTAAAGTGAGCACGTACCGGTGTGTTCCCAGAAGCGTCCTCAGTGGTGTAAGTGTGCTCTGTAGCATTTGCCGGCCTAGATACACTAGTGCAGGCCAAGGAGGTTGTTTCTGTAACTAAGCAATCGTGTTACTATGGCCCAGACTTGCTGCTTATCAGGTGAAACAGAGTAACTGGCTGTGTGTGCACTTAGTGTGTCCCAAGTGTGAAGTAAAAGAATTTGGCTTAAAGCTTAAGTGTGACCATCAGCAGACTTTGACTTAATAGGATGATAGAAGAAGACATTTATGTAGTGAGGCCACAGGAATTCAGCCATTTGTGGTCAAACTTATATACCCTAAGAGACAGCCTTTTAGTTTTAAAACATCTTTTCAGGGAAGGGGGAAATACAGTAGCTTGTTCTAATAGCTTCTCTCTTACTTTGCAGGACAGCAAAGCAAAGAAAGCTAAGAGCAAAGATAAAGTCCCCGAAGCAGACAAGAGAAAGAAGCCGAAAAAGGAAGAGGAGCAAAAATGGAAATGGTAATGTATATCAGTGATGGAGGCTACCCTCTGCACCTGGGCTTGCTGACCGAAGAAGCACATCTGGCTTTCTCTTTTGTTGGTTCATGGGGATTTGTTCTGAATAATTGACTTGCTTTCTCTTAAGCTCTAAATACATATCTTACTGACTCTGTTCATCATTTGAAGTGGAAGTGAAGTAGCTTTTTTGCTATACCTAAACCAAGAAATTAGTTTTATTGTGGGATTTTTTTCCTGTCTGTAGAGTGTAGAGACCACTTGTAATGATGAGATGCTCCTTGCTGACACTTCAGAGAAGTACAAAACTTGTAGGCTTGGCAGGAATACAGAAATATGTGCAGATATATTAACAAGTACTGTAGTCATAGAATCATAAATGCAGCCCAGGGTGTGATTGGCTTTCTGGGCTGTGAGCACATACTGCTGCTTGTGTTCACCTTTTCATCCACCAGCACCTCAAGTCCTTCCCCCAGGGCTGCTCTGCTCTGCGGCCGCTTGTTGCCCAGTCTGTGTTTGCACTTGGGATTGCCCTGGCCCAGATGCAGGACCTTGCACTTGGCCTTGATAAGTTTCATGAGTAGATCTTCTCTGTATTAAAGGGCTCAATGTGAGTGAGTGTCTACCTTTTTATTCTAGCTGAATGTCAACTATTGGCCTCTCAAAACCACTCCTGCCTCTAGCACACACACACACCAAAAAAAAGTTGGTCAAGTGACCAGTTAAGCTTGGGCTGTTTGGAAAATGAATTTTGAAAATAAGTTCTGAATGGAAAATGCTTTCTGTCCTGCCCAGGATCCTAAAGTAACATCACTGAGAAACTGAAGTTGTGCTTTCACTCACTTAAATTTTTTTAGAAGCTTTTTCAAATAAATCTGAACTTTGTGGTTCATTTGGAAGACAGGCCTGTTCTGCTTCAGTAGTGCTCTGTGTAAGAAACCTGCTGGATGTTTTGTTTTTAAACTATCCACAGCAGTTTAAGCTATTGTTGCTAGAATTGAGAAGCTATTGCTTGTGCGTTTTGAGGTTCAGGCCTTAGTATTTCCCTCAGTTTAATGCCCATGTAGTTTTCAAAAGCATAGGTGTTTTCTGCACTCCTGTAATCTCTTTTTGCGACCTTCTAGGGATGATGTTTCCATGAGCATTTTCTTTTCTCAGATCATTTGGCTTTTTTTAATAGATCTGCAGTGTTGGGAAATGCCTTTGCAATCTTCTTCAGTCCTTTGAGGTTTGGTCTGTTACACCTTTATTGGCACCCTTACTGATTCACCTTTAAAAAAATATTCCTCTGTAGTGTTTATAGTCTTTGCCTATTTCTCCGATTTTCGGAGCTTCCTCAGAACATCAGCACTTGTGTATTTTTTTCACGCTTGTATACTTACTCTCTTTCGTTTTCAAGCCCTCTCAAAAAATATCCTGGGGTTTTTTGGGGGGTGGGGGAGGGTTAGGGAGGTTTTTTGGTTTATTTTTTGTTCCTGAGCAATCCACTTTTTTCCTCAGTCCCTTTGGCAGCATACTTTTAACGTGCTTTGACATTAACAAACTACAGGGACATGAAGCAATCGGAAGGTACAGAAGGTCTCTTAAGGCTTAAGCCTTAATGATTTGTTGCCTTTTTGGCTTTGTCTCAGCTGCCCTTGCTGGTTCTGCCTCAATTAACATTCCGTTATCATAGCTCCTTTTGTTGTAGTCTGCACCCTCCAACAGCAAACCTTTACTGGAAAGCTGTGTTGCTCTCCCCTCGCCTGCCTTGGCAGCGCAGTCCCAGGTAGCTGCGTTAAGCTCTGCGGTTTGTGCTCGCTGCTGAGGAAATCTGCCTTGGAAAGCATGTTTTGCAAAACCTGGCAGTAGGGAGCTGCATCCTTCTGCTGATGCTCCGTGATCATCCATCTGCAGCTTTGTGTAGCCCGTGCTTGCCGGACAGGGTTTCATCTGCACTTCAATTGTGTCTCTTAAGGGCATTTTATGTTCCATCTGAGTCAATTTTCTGATCCTCTGATACCCTTTTTTTAGCTGTTTCCACAAGTGCTTTTGCTGCCTTGAGCGTTTTCATCCTCACTTATGTGAATACTTGATGCTAGACGTTCCCAAGGCATCGGCCTCGTTCATCACCATGTGGAGCTCTCTTAGAGGTCGTTTTCACACCCTGTCAACGTGTGAAGAATATGTGATCCAGAAGTATACCTTCTGAACACTTCTCCCACCTTGCATTGTAGCAAGTTCATTTCCTTGAAATAACATATCCCTGAGGTTTATTCTGTTTTTTTTCCCTAAGGATCTTTTCTATTTTCATTCCACTTAAACCTCCCCCAGCTCTACCTTCCTGAGTCACCCTGGCATTCTCAGACAAGTTTGATAGGGGATTTAATCAAAGAACTTACGTGACCGATGAGCACAGTTTCTGCTGAAATCAGTAAGGCAGCTTTCCTGACAGGCAACATTCTTCCTGCTCCCACAAAATTGTCTGTAGAATGTTGCTTTAGAACCAGAAGCAGCCTTGGGCAGTGTTGCTGTAATGCTTATGTTGTCTTAACGCTTTTGTACAAGGTTTAGGAAGGTGGAGGTGGAGGATTTGGAATGGTTTGTGATCTTTCTGTGGCAAACTTTCTGGTAGCTTTGGACTTTTAAACCATCCTGTGGATCCCATGCTTCCTTGGAGCCATCTCAAAAGGCACAATGTGCACAGCTGTCTATTTAAACTGCTACCTTTCTAGTACATCTTTTGCATGTGTCCTTTATAAAATAAACAGGAACGGGTAGAGGAACAGAATTTATCAGCAAGTAAATACTAGAGTGATAAATCTTAACAAGTCACAGCTGAAAAGCAAGAACGGCAACGCCATCCTGTAAAGTGGTAGCTACTGTGAATGATCCTCATGTTTTTTCCTTACTGAAATAAAAATGCTCATTGCCAGAGAGGATAACTCTCTTTTTCCTAGCTGGAAGACGAGGTGAATGGTTTAGATTGTTTTGCTAGAAGGAGATTCTGGGTGGAAGAACGTAGGCCTATGTTTGACAAAATATTTAGATTTCTAGCTTCTAATTAATTAAAACCCCCACAATCATTAGGAATGTAAATATTTGGGATCTAGACTTCAAATGTCAATATTAGTTTCTTTTATCAACGTAGTTTACTAGAGCCTTCTTCCCAGCCAGGGCCTGAAATCAGGTTTTGTGCTGATAGCTGGGATCGCGCACTTTGCTGTTGAAGACGTTCTTGTGCTTCTCCCGAGACGGTCAGGTCTGGTGCTGCGGTTGAAGATGATGACTTTCTAACTATAGCAAAGCACCGTGTCCCGTACAATTGTTGTTGTTCTTAAATTACTGGTGTACAAGCACCAGTGAAGCATTTTGAGTGTTTTCTAGCTTTTTTTTTTTTTTTTAATTCTGTATAGTGGTTATCTTCTGTACAGTGACCTGTTATCTCATTAGGGATTAAGCCCTTGCGCATCACAATTCCCGAGATGCCTGCACTACACACATGTATTTTCTTAGCTGCTCTTGCACCCAGAACGGGACTATACCTAGTAGGGCCAACACTAGAAGGAAGCTTAAATATTTTTTTCCCTTTCTTTTTATTGTCACGGCTGCTGAGCAGAGTTGTCTGGGCAGTTCAAAGACTGAGGGCTGTGACAGGTTAATGGTATTCAAGTTGATGAATCACCAAGGTAAAATAGCCTTTCTCAGCAGGGAATCCTTTCCTACAGCATGTAGCAGTAATGTTCTGGTAATCGTGAAAGGAGGAGGGGAAAGGATGGGATGGGGAGGAGTGTGGAAGTGGTGGCTTGGGCACAGGGCACTAGGAACTGGGTGAGGATACTGGCCTGGTGGGACCCCTTTTCTCTGTAGCCGAAATGCTGACCCCATGAGTCTGTTCCTTTGGAACGCGGGGATGGCAGTGGCTGCCGGACTGTGCTGCGATACCTAATGCATCATTTACCACACTTTTTTATAGAGGCTTTAAGGCAAGTTTGCGATTTTTCCTGTGCTACTCCGTTTTTTTTTTTTAATATGCTTTTCTTACCCAAAGAATTGAAATGGGTTTAAAATGACAGAGCAGGTTTCAAGCTTTCTTGTCTGAGCAGGTTCTCATTTAGGTCATTACTAAACATCTGTTTCTTTATCTCTGCCCTGAACGGTGTCCTTGTCCACCTCTGAAAGCAGCTGCATAATATACTACAATTGTTTGGCTTTGCTGAGCAGGCATCCTAGACCTGATGCTGGATCACAGCTGACTCTAGTCTGGCATGATCCTAACTGCTTCACAAGACTGAATTTTGTATTATCTTAAGTTCTAAGTTTTTTCAGCTCTGCAATTTTGTGAAAAGAGCAGCAAATGGGAGGTGAGGACTATAGTGTCATCAGATGATCTGTGACCTATGGTGTTCTCTTCATGGACATCCTTTTATAAAAATAAAAATAGTGACAGTGAATATTTTTACTTAGTCTGTGTATGGCAAAACAATGATTGCCTGCTGATTTTTTTTTCCTTTCTTTAAGCCTAGTTTTATACCCATGTAATAATAAAACGAAGGTTAGGAGCTTAGAATTTAATTGATTCATATTTCTCTCTTGAAGGTGGGAAGAAGAACGCTATCCTGAAGGCATTAAATGGAAGTTCCTAGAGCACAAAGGTCCTGTATTTGCTCCACCATATGAACCTCTGCCCGAAAATGTTAAGTTTTATTATGATGGTGAGTTCATCTGGTTTTTCACTTGCTGAAATAAGAAATAAACACTCTCGGGGCATTGTGGTGTTCTTCCAGGGACTGAATTGAGGAGGAGATGGTTTTGTTCTAGGGGTTAGTTTAAAAGAAGTTCCTCAATGGTTAGGTGAAGGAGGGATCTGTGAAAGTAAAGAAGTAGCTGCTGAATTCTGCTAACAGAGTTGACATGGAGATGAACTTGTTGTCACTCTGTTGTGGTGGTAAATCTCTCACGTTACATGAGAGCATCTTACACCTGAGAGTAGCAGCATAAAACTGATGAGAGTTTGTAGTTGTAGCTGCTTCATCACTGGTCACCTTTAGGCTTGCTCTGTTTTCTTTAACCGTGTGAATTGCAACTTCCAACATCTGTGGTGAAATTCACAACCCTTTGGTGGCATAAGCAGAGTGAAAGACCATTGAATTTTGATACAGATGATTAGGGTCTTGTAGGAGTGCGTGGGATGACCCTGGCCTCAAGGACACAGCCCTCTGGTGCAAGTCATGGTCCCACTCACTAACTGTTAGGTGTGGTAGAACTAATTGATGTGGGATTCTAATGTGCTGGGCTGACTGGTTGTTAGAGGCTCACGTGGAAGGGATTATATGATGTGATGCCTGCTGGAGACCGGACTTGATGACCCGTGTGTTTCCTTTTTAGTCCTGTGATCATGTTAAATGAAGGATCAAATTAACCTGGGATTGAATTAAGTGGGAGGTATTTGAATGGATGAACATGTAACTTTTGGTGAAGGGGACATCTGTGCTGGCACTCTTCCAGCAGCAGTGTGCTGTTTTCCTGGGACACAAAGCGGTGTTTTTAAATACTGGGAAATAGGTGGCATTTGGTTTTAGCAGCAGTGCAGTGAAATGAACGTATTGCATCCTATTAAAGGCTATCTAAGGCCAGTAACACAATGATCAGGGATGTTGGCAGACTTCTTTCTTAGGGTTTGCTAAGAACTTCCTGCAAAATTGGCAGCCTTTTTCTCCTCTATTGATGACTGTATACCTCCCCTGCTGTCTAGAGAAAAGCAAGGGCAGATTGCACTATAGCTGTCCCTTCGGCGCAGGCAGCAATAAGCTCCTCTTCTGTCTAGCCATCTATTTCATGAAATCTTTAGGAAGCACAGGGATTTTTGCAGTCTCCGTCGTGGCAGAAATTCATCAGCAGGCTCAACGATTACGGGGTGGGCAGAGCGGTCTGGCAAATAAAGCAGTCCCATAAATCTGACTTGAGAAACTAGGCAAAAAAAAAAAAAAAAATCAGACGTCTGATTTACACAGCAGCTGCTGAGAGCTTCTCTCTGTGCTCACAAGGCATTGTCTAATTTGAAGATTATCCCAAGATGATTTGTAGAGTCCAATAATCACGCTGTGGCTGGCTCTCGCTGGAGGAATCTGAAATGCCAAAGCTGCCTTTTTTGGGCTTGACTACGTGTTTGAGTGACCACAGGTTAACGAGCTACTGCTTATACACCAGAGGTGGCTTGAAATTGCATATTTTTCTGTAAAAGGGGCAAGGTCAGAGTGTAGATGGTGGTACCTGCATTTCAGTCGTGTTCTCTTATGCTCGTAACATCCCCCTCATTGCTCTCTGGTTTTGAGTTTTTAAGTCAGGTAACGTTATTCTAGAGGCATGAATATTAGTTTTTTTTTCTTTAAACATCAAGCCCTGTCACTGAGTGCCTCTTCAAACCTTTATAAAAAGAGAGGAAATTGAGTCCAGTGAAATATATTCTAAAGAGATTAGATAAAGGTGACTGAGCCTTCAGCTATCTGAGAAAAATACCAGTAATTTTCGCCCCGTAACACGTTTCTAACTCGATAGCTGCTTTCAAGCTAGACTCGCAGCCTGGAAAAACAGTTTCCCTTGCTGTCTCTCCCTTCCCCCATTTCCTGTTATAAGCAAACAAATGCTGTATTTTAGCTTGCAGTTTAAAAATTGGCAGAGTTACTGTTGGTTTAATTTAATTGTGGAATATTCTCAGATCATTGGGAGGACCTTTTGCTAAGTCCTGTTTTACAAGGGTTTATAGATCTTAAGGCTTTGTAGCTGAGTCCCATGCTTTAATTGTGGAGATGATGCAACTTTTTGAAACATAGTAAATTGAAAGTGTGGTAGTTTTTTCCAAGAGCGTAGAATCAACGCTAGTGTTTCTTGTGTTCGCTTTTGCGCAGTAGGGTGGTCGTTAAAAAATCCACAGATGTTGACTGTCTGCCAGCCCATTGGGACTTGAAATATTTCTTGCAAGTAGCTGGAGATGTGAGCTGCATGCAGAATCCTTCACGGGGATCACTGGCCCCTCCTGTGTCATCAGGAAATGCAGTCTGGACCAAAAAGACGTTCAATAGGGATGTTAGATGTTGAATCCACAGCTTCGGTTCTGCAGCAGCCTCTTTCCCCTTGTGTTTTAAAAGTCTTCCTTTGCAGTAGTTTCACTTTGTACCGCAGTCTTGCAGATAAGGTGAAATGTGACCTCTCCATTCACGGAAAGCGCAGCCTGTCTTAGAAGTGACTGGTTTGGAGACACAGAAGTGCATTCCCACAGCAAAGGAGGGATTAGCAGGATCCCAACACAATTCCCTGCCATGAAGGGGTGTTAAATTTTTGGGGGGGCTTTCCCGGCTTTTTTGTGGATTAGCCATTGGAAGGGCTCTTCCTGGCTAGAAACAGCCACGGGCTAGAAGGGGTGTCCCTCTGTGAGTAGAACAGGAATACAGAGACCATCTTTCCCATACATCTGAGTGCTGGAGTATGAAATTTAACAAAACCCCTTGCTTCTTGCACTTCAAACAGCAGTATCTCCCCAGGAGCGTACGCGCCGCTGGGCCATCTCAGCGTAGGGTTTCCTGCATGAGGCCTTTTCCCCTTCCTGCCCTGCCTCTCTCAGACCTGCCTCACATCAGATTGCTGTGCCTTGCCCCCCCCTTTTCCAAATGTTTAGATTCCGGAGGAAACTTTTCAAAATGTTTATGATGAAAGTCAAGCAATTGTGTTCCTCTGTTTTCTTTGTCCATCCAATTTGCTGTACTTTGTAACATTTTGAGGGAAGACCTCTCTGTGGTAAAAATATAGTGTAGTTACTGTGGCCTCTTTCTGGCTTCAATTCCTGTCTACCCTTTTCTTCAAAAAGAAAATCTTTCTTTGTAGGTAAAGTCATGAAGCTGAGTACCAAAGCAGAAGAAGTTGCCACATTCTTTGCAAAAATGCTTGATCACGAGTACACTACAAAGGAGATCTTCAGGAAAAACTTTTTCAAGGACTGGAGAAAGGTATTTACGTAGTCTTGGGCTGCAACAACTGCAGGCGTGGCCGGTGTCTCCTCAGCACAGGGCAGTGAAAAGGGACTCCTGTTCCATCTACAGAGAAGTTAGCTTGAGGCAACTAAGAGCTGCCTCAGAACGTAGATGTGAAGTTTCAGTTTATCCTGTAGTTTCACCAGAAAGGACCCTATCATAAATACCTCTCTAAACCAACAAAATCTACCTCCTCCCAACCAAATTTGCGGGTTACAGTGTGATGGGCTGTAGATGACCTGACTGTTGCGTGCCTTGCTGAAGAGCCAGCTTTATATTAGAGCAAAATGCCTTCTGAAGACCTGAACTTCAGCAGCACTAAGTTCAAACCTGTAGCTTAGCTGATGCAGTTTTCCTAGGTGGGCTGTGTTTTTTCTCCCTATCCCACAGCAGTCCCAGCTGGTGCTCGCTGTAAGAATGCTTTGGGAGGTGGCACAGCACTGCCCAGGGCTTGCAGGGATCACACTGCTCCCTGCGCTCTGCTTCTTGGCCTTTTCTCTGTGACCTCTGGTGGAGTGAGCACATGCAAGAATTTGAGGATTCTTAGGGATTTATTGTGAGAACCTGCCTATTGTTCCTGTTTAAACTGCCTGCAGTAGGATAAGCTCTACTATATGTGAAAACTTTGTAAGTGTATGAAAACTTAAAAGTGCCACTTTCTTTCTGGAAGGAAATGACCTCTGAAGAGAAGAGCACGATCACCAACCTCAGCAAATGTGACTTCACCCACATGAGCCAGTATTTCAAAGCTCAGACAGAAGCTAGGAAACAGATGTCCAAGGAGGAGAAACAGGTACCAGAGCGAATTCTAGAATTCTTGATTCTTAACTGACTTGTAAACATCTTTGTGTAATTATTCCTCTGCCTGCCTTGCCATTTATAAGTCGATGTTTACTAGCTTTCAAATTATTACTTTTGTGTTAACTGTAGGAATCTTTACTTTGCAGCTCAGGTAAGGCAAAGTGCTGTGTTTACAGCTAAATCTTCATCCTGACTTGAAATGATAATCGATAGGACTAAAGCTCCTGATCCTGCTTAAGTAAATAAAGAGAATCAGAGGTGCTACCTCCACGGGAGCCGTGATCCCTGGCCAGTAATGAGGAGTGGATACTCAGCTAAAGATAGACTTTTATTGTAAAAGTCCCTTGGGTTATAAGGGTGAAATTGGGGACAGTGGAAGGGGTGCAGCACTGACATTACTGAATAACAAGAGAGAATAAATCTTAAATACCAAATAATGCAATCTTCTGAATAAAATAGGAACTTTATTTTCCGGTACCATGGCTACAGTGGCTTTGTGGGGAGAGAATTAAATAGTTTTTAGATGACGGAGGCTCCCTGCAATGGAAGTTGGAAACTTACCCCAAGTTCTCAGTTGATCTTCTGCAACACCGCAGTAATTGTCCTCTGAGCCAGGGGCCAGGCAGCTTGAAAGCACCTTTGGGGGCAGAGGGTTCCCGGAGAAGCAGATACATGTCTCACTGCTGTTGGCATTTGATAAACATGTGGGTGATCCCGTCTCTGTACCTGTCTGTGGCTTTCTCTGTTAGTTTCTTAGCTGGCGCACCAGTGCTGTCTACAGGTCAGATGTTTTATTTTGAGCTACAATGTTTTTATTTTTCCTTTCTGTGTAATTAGAGTTCAAGCACAGAAGTATGCAGTGACATCTCAGCACATTTTTACTTAGGAGACTGTGTTCTGCTTATGAGACCATTTGCTGACACAGACTTGACATGCAGCAGACTGGAGACATTCCTCTGCCTGCTTTCCGATACTGAGTTCAAACACAGAAGTCTGAGTTTTTATGTATAAACAACAAGATTCAAGTACAGCGAATGCCAAATGCTGAATAGACACTACAAAGCAGCAGCACTGTGCTGGGTCTGCTCATGTAGCTGTGATATGTGGATGGAGTAAACGTGTCTGTCCTGACCAGCCCTTATCTATTTCCCTCAAATACAAATTTTAAGAGACTTTTCACACATTTTGGCCCTCTTCCAGTTTGTGCTGCTTGCATTTTATGAATGCTTTTCTGGACAGTTTGCTGCTCTGTGTGTTGATACTGTACCTGGCACAATGAGGATCTGGTTTTGAGTTGGGTCTTCAGCATTAGTATGGTGCAGATATAATTTTTTTTTTTAAGTCTTGGCTTTTAGGGATGTGTGTGGTGCTGGGTATACTGTATCATCTTTGATTTTGGCTTTTCCCAGAAAATCAAAGAGGAGAACGAGCGGCTATTGAAGGAATATGGTTACTGTGTGATGGACAACCACAAGGAGAGAATTGCCAACTTTAAGATTGAACCCCCAGGTCTCTTCCGAGGTCGTGGGAACCATCCCAAAATGGGCATGTTGAAGAGACGCATCATGCCAGAAGACATCATCATCAACTGCAGCAAGTGAGCACTGGATGCCTCGCACCTTGGCTTTGCTTGCTAGATAGCATAGCTTCTTTTTAAAATTCCTACCGAAGCTGATAGTCAAGCGTGTAGAAATACATTACTGCTTGTCTTATTCTTACATGGATAAGGAACTGAGTCATACAAGCAAAGACTGAAGAAGGCTATCGTGGGTTTCGTGTAGAACTTTGTCAGCATATTTTCTCCCTCATGCCTATGGCCTACATCTGCTTAAACAGCCTTTCCTGCTAGTATTTACAGAAATTAATTTTCTTTTAGGTAGGTTGCCCTACTTTGCCTGCCTTGATGTCGAAGGCTAAGGTCTGATGGGCTTCTCTTCACTTTTGTCCTGATAAATGTCCACACTATTGCAGTGTCCACAAATCAAAGCTGGCCCTAGCAGTCTGTATTCCCACCTCTAGTATAATTCTGCAGCAGATACGTAGTGATAGCAGTTCCATTTCTGGTATTTGTTCACTTTGATTCACTTGATTTCCTTGTGAAAATACATAGCTGTGTTGCCTCAGTTTCTTGCACTGTGCTTCTTTGTGTGATGGTATTAATTACTTTCTCTATTTTGATGCTATGGAAGTCTCTTTAAATAGGTTTTTATTTGCTGTTTTGTAATTCTGTGCAGGGATTCCAAGATCCCTCCCCCTCCACCAGGACACAAATGGAAGGAGGTCCGGCACGATAACAAGGTTACCTGGCTGGTGTCATGGACTGAGAACATCCAAGGCTCTATCAAATACATCATGTTGAACCCCAGCTCAAGAATTAAGGTAAAGATCTAGTTAAAAAAATTTTAAAATCTTACTGGTCATGTCTCCAGGAAGCAAATCTAGCTGTTGGCTAGGAAAGAGATAGTAAGTAAAGCTGTCTTGCTGTCTCGTGCTACACTGAAAAATACAGGAAAGCTTCTGTACTTCTGTTCCCCCTTGAAAAGAAAAAATACAATTACTGCACAGAAGAGCAGATGAAATCTGGAAAATGTCGACTGAAAAGCATCATCATGTCAGAAATCCTTTACCCTGTATAAACTAAAAGGAAGCAGTTTATCCAAGAACAGTTATGGTGGATATTTTATGTACTTTTGGCTGTAACGTTCCCCTGCCTGATGATGTAGTGAGGTTCTAACCATGAGTTGCTAATTAGTCAGTTGTAAAATTTAAAATGTAGCCAGGCTGCTGGCTGAGAAGGAGCTCCTGACTGAAGAACAAACTCTGCTGTGGGAGCAAATAACCAGTCAGCGAATCAATTCCATAATTCCAAATGATAAACCCATTGAAAGAATTGCTGTAAGTTTCAGGGCTAGGATTTAAGTTCTCCTCATGAAGGTGTTTTTTTAGAGGTGCTTTATTGTTTTGATTTTTAGATGATTTTGTGTTTTTTGGTTGTGGTTTGTTTTGGGGTTTTTTTGTTAAGAGTTGTTTTTCCTGGATTGGAAACAAAGGGATTGTCCTACAAGTATAAGGAAAAATCTCTGCCCTCTTTTTCCTATGGCTTGAATATATAATAACAAAGACAAGCTGTTGATGTTGCTTTCACATTTTATGGGTGTTTAATTACACAGCTGAAAGAACATAAGTGTCATCTGAATCAAGCAGAGGAAGCCATTTATATGTGAGAAGCATGGAAGACATATCTTTTGTGTCTTTACAGTTGCTTCTGTGGAAGCATTTAATATCATGGAAATCTGAATTGCCTACAGCTGCATGGCAGCGTAGTTTGAAACTGAGCTGTTCAGCAGCAAAATCTCCGCGTTTTTGTGCAGCGAGACCATTTGCCACACGCAGAGTTGCAAAGCCTGAGCTGCAGATTGGAACTGGTCCTTTGCCTGCGTCCTAGTGCTGACTGTTTGTTCCAATGTTCTCTGCAGGGTGAGAAGGACTGGCAGAAGTATGAGACGGCTCGGAGGTTGAAGAAGTGCGTAGATAAAATCCGGAATCAGTATCGAGAAGACTGGAAATCCAAAGAGATGAAAGTACGGCAGAGGGCCGTGGCTCTGTACTTCATTGATAAGGTAAGGCTTCTTCCCTTTCCCATCCTGCTGGGAATACTGGGAATGCTGCGTGTCTGTTCCCACGGCAGAATTGAACCCAGCTGCTAAGGTATCCTGAGGCTTCCTGGTGGGCAGGCTCCCATCTCCTTTTCCTTCCCATTACCTGGAATCCAGAGGCAATGAACTATTGTACTGAACGTGGCTATTTCAGGCAGCATTGTTTTAGTGCAGGCAACATTCACAGCCTGGTTCCAGAATCGCCCAGTTGGATTACTGGGAAGTCTATGTGGGCCTTTTGTCTCCAGCTGCTTCGATTTTCCTGCTGGGAGTCTCTGCTGGTTTGTCACCTCTTTAGTTTGAGGTCACAGCCACGAGGTTTCATGATTACACTGATTTTTTTTATCACAGCCTAAAGAAAACTGCAGTTGTGTTTGATGCATTTAAAGCTGCATAAAACCGGTTCCCAGAGAGTTGTTGCTCTGTTAGGGCATGGTATCTCGACCAATTAAATTATCAAGTTTTGTTCAAAATGGGTCGGAGTAAATCCAGGGAACTTTGGTTTGAATAATTGTGGTTTCGTATGAACAATGGAGATTTTTCTTCAGAAATTTTGCCAGTACTGATAAAAAACATTTTTTTTTTTTATGCAGCTAAATGTAGCCTTTAGGTTACTTATATAACCCAAAGTGTCCTATGTGCTATTTAAAAGGCATTGAGCATGCAGTGAAGAGGTAGGATCATAGAAGATGAACAACTGAACTTGGTTTTGGATCAGGTTGAGTTCACATGGAAGTCGGTTTGATTTTTACACAATAGCAAATGTTTTGAAATGGTTTTCCATTAGTCAGAAATGTCTTACAGTTTGAGTTACTTAATAAGCATTAAAGCATCTTGCTTTAAATTTCTCTTTAAAAAATGAGATATTCTGGTAGATTAGTAGATTTGTGGCTTTATTGTAGGGTTATTTAAAAGAGATTTGAAGAGAACATAGGGTTGATTTTATTACAATTTTGTAAGAGTCACTTTTATCCATTCAAATGCGTTTTCTCCTTTTCTCCTATGGACACTGCAGATTCTAGCTCAATGTCTGAAAATTTCCATAATGTGTAGGTTACAGGGGTAATTTGAAATGTTTTATTTTTCTTGTCTTGATATAAATGTAGCTTGCCCTGAGAGCTGGTAATGAAAAAGAGGAAGGAGAGACAGCTGACACCGTGGGCTGCTGCTCTCTGAGAGTAGAACATATCAAGCTGCATCCCGAACTGGATGGCCAGGAATACGTGGTTGAGTTCGACTTCCTCGGAAAAGACTCCATCCGATACTACAACAAGGTCCCCGTTGAGAAGAGGGTAAGGAATTTCCACCAACGTGTACGCAGACTGAACTGCAGAACAGTGTGGGCAGCACGGGTTTGATGGCAATAGCGGGGAGCTTCATCGCTGGTGTCAGATCCCTGGCCATAAAGTCAGTCAGTTAACCTTCCTCCCTTTTATCGGCAGTGACGTGACACAACCCAGCAGGTATTTAAACACCTTATTGCTCTTCCCTGTGGTCTCGGTGTCCGAAGTTGGCGTAACTGTAACAGCTATGTTAGATGAGTTTCTTGGGTCTCATTCTGATCAGCAGGGTTGGTTTGGTCACCTGTGGGTGGTAGAGTTCTAGGCCCAAATGACAAGTAGTGGCATAAAGTGCTGGACAGCACTGTTAGAGGAGCAGTTGGACTTGAGCTTTCATGATGTCTCTGTCGCAATGGTTTTGTTAATGGTGGGGCTGAGCCCTCACTGAGGTACGTCTTCATCTGGGATGCTCTGCAATGTGTAGAGTAGGTGCACTGGTACTTCTAGCCTATGCACCTGAGAAGCTTCATCATCCTCTGATTTCAAATCTGCTGTGATCTTGTCCTCATTCCAGAACAAGTCCCTACCCAGCAGCATGAACCTGGAGGGTGCTATCCAAAGAGGCTTTTGTTTTTGTGGGCGTAGCAGCTTCCTATCTGGCCTATAGCACATGTATAATACCGTGGTAATTGTGACGACAGTCGGCAATAGCTGTTGCCCTCCTAGAGAGCAAAGCAAAGGAAAAAAGCCAAACTATGGCTGCTGTAGAAATGAGGACGTGCTGGAATTCTTGCTTCCTTGTGTAAGGAAGAAAACGTGATCCTGTTTAAATTTATTGGTGTTAGTGCCTCTTCTTCAGTGCTTACAGTAGCAAATTGATCATTGTGGAATTAGAAATCTTTGTATGTTAGGTGTGTAGAAGAATGTGTATTGTTGAGAAGCTGGGAACTGGGGATTTGGAGCACACAGAGCTGGGATTTGTGGTCTCTGTATAATTAGAGATGATTTGATTATTCTCCCTACCCCAGTGAGATTTGTTTGGGATTAACTGTATGAAACATTTAATGCAGCAGTAGGAGGGGTTGAGTTTTGATAGCTTCTTCCCATGGGAAATGGCTCAGAGGTCTCTTTGCTTGGACTAACTATGGAGAGTAAGGGAAAGGTGGTGGCTTTGGGGTCTGGCTTCCTGTTAGACAGTGAAGCCAGAACAGAATCTGGTCTCCTGCAGTTTTGATCTAAAGGGTGAGGATAAAGGACATTGAATGTTCAGAGCTCCTGTTGCTGGGGAGGAACCTTTGAGTGTTATATTGAGAGATGGGTCTTTGCCTGCTGGGAAGTAACATCCAGCATCATCACTGTTGCCTAAAATCGGTTGAAGTGGCTCCCTGGCAATGTTGCTTCTTTATGTATTGCTGCTAACCCAGCACTGTCTGGTCCGTGCACCTGAGGTTACTGCTTTTCTTTTCCTGCAGGTGTTTAAGAATCTTCAGCTGTTCATGGAGAACAAGCAGCCTGAGGATGACCTCTTTGACCGCCTCAATGTAAGCACATGGTTTATGGTCAGGGATGGTGGTGGAGCACCATGAACAGTCTCACCCTGCACCAGGCAGTAACAGCTGCTCTCTCCCAGAAATGGTTTCAGTGGCAATTTTTCTCCAGAGCCGGCCTGTGTGGCCTAAAAGCAGTGAGACTCTGTCTCAACCTGGTGTCTGTATTGTGCACTGTGCCCACAGGTTCCTGAAGAAAGGGGGCTTTGGTCCTAGTGAGCTTGATTGGCTCTGACCTGGGGAGTTTTTATCAGAGCTCAGAGATGATGACTGTGAGGTGATATTTTGTGATGCCATCCTCATCTGCACCTTTGGCAATATGGGAGCACTGTGGTGGTTCAGGCACCTTCCCTGAGGTGGGACAGGTACACCTCTAGCTGTTGAGAACCAAAACCTCCACACTAAAGAAAACGTTTTTCGCCACTTGTGGTTATTTAATACCAATCTAATACTTGCTGGTTCTTTGTTCACTTTTCCTGTGGTTTTGGTGATGTTGTGGTCAGGTCTGAGTACACTAAGCTTCAGTGGTGAGCTTCATGTCTTCATCACTCCTGCGTCGAGAGATTTCACAGATGCTGTGGTCAATTCTAGTGCTAAGTCATCTTTCTCCTTCCTTAGACCAGTATCTTAAATAAACACCTTCAAGACCTTATGGAGGGACTGACAGCCAAGGTATTCCGTACTTACAATGCCTCCATCACGCTACAGCAGCAGCTCAAGGAGCTCACTAATCGTAAGTTCCATCCCTGAAACCGTGAGGGGAACAGATCTTACCCTGCAACACAGACCTGGCTTCCTTTCTTGGCCACAAGCCTGCCATCTGTACACCGCTTCCTCATTGCAGTTCTGCCAGTGCAAATGTCAGACAGCTGAGGTCTGACCAAAAAATCTGCTGCCAGACAATCTTTGGGGGTAGCTGAGCAGCCCAGCACTGGGATGGGGCAGAGCTGACCTGTGACTGCACCAGGGCATGCCTGCTGCTTTATGCCTGTCCTTTATCAAGTCTCATTAGCTTTTTGCTAGTCGGTTCTGCAGTGACTGGGAGCTTGCAGAGCTGATGGGGCGCTGATTGGGGCTGCACAGCTCTGGAGAACCCACTTGTTCACTTCTTTCTTGTACTTTGCAGCGGATGACAACATCCCGGCAAAAATCCTTTCCTATAACCGTGCCAACAGAGCGGTTGCCATTTTGTGTAACCACCAGAGAGCTCCACCGAAGACCTTCGAGAAGTCCATGATGAACCTGCAGAGCAAGGTACACCCACCCTTGCCCACCTCTCGGCTTGTCGCAGGGCTCTAAATACTGTGTCTTGGGAGTCCTTTGACTTGGGGGAAAGAAGCAGAGCCTGCTGTTCCCTCTCGGGAGTTGGTTAGTGCTGCGTCAGAGCTGGGCCTGCGTGGAGAGAGCTGAAGGGGATGCCTTTCAATATGAGTAGTCTTTTGCTTGTAAAGACCAAGACCAGACCCTTTTTATATGCCCTTCATTCCATAGCTATGTGTTCTGCTGCCATTGAATCTTCAGAGCAGCAGTCTCTAGCTCTGATTTGTGTCCCCTAAAGAACCCTGAGTGGCCAGGAACAGGACATCCACACTTGGCACGTGAATCTCAGGCTGTTGTCAGTGCAGGCTGTGCACGTGGTACGTTACGGCCCCCTGACTTGACCTCTTCCTTTGCAGATTGTTTCTGGTGAAGGCCATGAGGTCCAGAGGGGTTAGGTCTGTTCCTGGTCTGGCTTTAGAGTAACCGTCACAATAAAGATTTCTGGTTTGGCGCTGCAGTGTCCCTGCTTCTGTAACACACCTAACATGGCTGCCTTCACCCTAGATCTTAGAGCTTGGGGGATGTTTTAAGGGGAGTGGTTGAACAGGGACTGCAAAATGCTACATCTCCTTGAATCCTAAACTTGCTAGAGAAGAACTGCCTGAAGCCTTATCAGCTTTCAGGGCAAGAACTGATTTTTATAGTCCTTCCAGGTTATCATCAGAGAGTTTATGCTGGCGGGATACAGTGGAGGCAGACAAGCTGCCTGGAGGGACTGTAGGCCAGTCCCAGGGCAAGACAATTCCTTTGCCTGCTTGATTGTGGCTGTGTGAGAAAGCTCTGAGCACCACCTTGTCTTTGGAAATGAGTGGGGCCCTACTTTCTCAGGGGAATGTTTCACCACCCTGGGTTTTGCAGCAAACTAAAAGGCCAATGGCCTAACTGTTCTGCAGCAGTGGGTCTGGCTTCTGATAGATTTTAGACGTGGTCACAAGCTGAACCCTTGGGTCATGCTGCCTAGGAGTGACTGCCACAGTTGTCAGCAGCTTGTTCACAGTGCCGCCGTCTGGTTTTGCCTCTCCTAGATCGATGCCAAGAAGGAGCAGTTAGCTGATGCCAGGAGAGAACTGAAAAGCGCCAAAGCTGATGCCAAGGTCCGGAGGGATGAGAAGTCTAAAAAGTAAGGCTGGTGTTACCAGGCTCTGTGCTGCTCCCAGCACTCTCTGCTCCAAATAGGTCCTTCACCCTGTATTCTGTTTCTGCA